CTCCGACGTGTAAAATATTTGTGAAAGGTGGTTGTGTACTTTTTTTTTATATTTAGCTACCACTTCCCATCTACTGCGCGTGCATTAGGTGTGTATTACATGACACTACTGTTTTTATATTCAGCTACCAGAATTGACCTTTAGATTTTCTGTATGGGTGTAAACCTGCAGGAGGCGCGTTCACAAGCTGCGGTGTTATAATAAACTCTCTTCTCTTTGCACAGAGCTCCCTGCTGCAGTGGGGAAAGAGACTCCTGGGGAACAGCACACAGAGAGCCGACAGAGACAGACTGTGCCCACGGTGAACATAGAGCCTGAGAGAGAGACACCTGGACCCTTAATAACTGGGGACTCTGCAGGCCAGTTTAATAATGCGAGTCCAAAGGAAATTGCCAAGAGGTTTATTGAACCGGATTCTGTCTCTCCTCGTGGGCCCCAAGGGAATGAACTGGCTGTCTCGGATGCTGCAGATGAGAGACCCCGAACGACTCCCACTGGGGGTCACGAGGGAGAGAACGCAGGTCCGTTTGGGGGGGGAGAGCAGGATCGTCAGGGGGAGCGTCCGCAGAGTGAGAAACCCCAGCGGGGCCCGCGGAGCCAGGGGAGTCCCCTGATGCCTGGCTCGGAGGGGGTGGACAAAAATTCATTGCAGCAGATACCCCGTTTATGCCAGTCCACCAATTCAAAAGAACACCAGCACCTTCACGCCGGAGAGAGACCATTTGTCTGCGGCCAGTGCGGGGCCAGTTTTATTTGCCCAAGTGACTTAAAAACCCACCAGCTCGTGCACGCGGGAGAGAAACAGTTCACCAGCGGTCAGTTGTTCACCTGCAGTCGGTGCGACAAGAGCTTTAGTACGCCGAACCTGTTAAGAAGTCACCAATGCGTTCACGCAGGAGAGAGACCATTCAGCTGTAGTGAGTGTGGGAAGTCGTTTAAACATTTAGGATTCTTAGAGAAGCACGAGCGTCTTCACGCAAGAGAGAGACCGCTGATCTGTAGTCAGTGTGGGCAGTCGTTTCGTTGTTTAAAAGCCTCCAAAAGGCACGAGCGTCTTCACACGAGAGAGAGACCGTTAATCTGCGGTCAGTGTGGGAAATCATTTAAATATTTGGGAAACCTAAGAACTCACGAGCGTCTTCACACAGAAGAGAGACCATTCATCTGCAGTCAGTGTGGAAAGTCATTTCGATATTTGGGAAACCTAAAAACCCACGAGCGTCTTCACACAGAGGAGAGACCATTAATCTGCAGTCACTGCGGGAGGTCTTTTAAGTATTTAAAAGCCTTCAAAAAGCATGAGCTCCTTCACACAGAAGAGAGACCATTCGCCTGTAGTCCGTGTGGGAAGTCGTTTCAATATTTGGGAAGCTTAAAAACGCACGAGCGTCGTCACGCAGAAGATGGACCATTAAACTGTAGTCAGTGTGGGAAGTCATTTAATTGTTTAAAAGCCTTAAAACAGCACGAGCGCTGTCACACAGAAGAGAGACCATTCGTCTGTAGTCAATGTGGGAAGGCATTTAAAGTTTTAGTAACCTTAAAGAGTCATGAGCTCCGTCACGCAACAGAGAGACGGTTCATCTGTAGCCAGTGTGGGAAGGCGTTTCATTGTTTGGAAAACTTGAGACGCCACGAGCACCTTCACCCTACAGGAGAGAGACCATTCATCTGTAGTCAGTGTGGGAAGTCATTTAAGACCTCAGGAAACTTAGAAGCTCATGAGCGTCGTCACGCAGAGGACGGACCATTAAACTGTAGTCAGTGTGGGAAGTCGTTTAATTGTTTAAAAGCCTTGAAGAGGCACGAGCATCGTCACACAGAAGAGAGGCCATTCGTCTGTGGTCAGTGTGGGAAGTCATTTAAAGTTTTAGGAGCCCTAAAGAGTCATGAACTCCGTCACGCAACAGAGAGACGGTTCATCTGTAGCCAGTGTGGGAAGGCGTTTCATTGTTTGGAAAACCTGAGACGCCACGAGCACCTTCACCCTGGAGGGGAGAGACCATTCGTCTGTGGCCAGTGTGGGAAGGCATTTCATTATTCAGGAAACTTAAAAATCCATGAGCGTAGTCACGCAGAAGACCGGCCATTAAACTGTAGTCAGTGTGGGAAGTCCTTTAGTTGTTTAAATGCCTTAAAGAGGCACGAGCGTCGTCACACAGAAGAGAGGCCATTCGTCTGTAGTCAGTGTGGGAAGTCATTTAAAGTTTTAGGAGCCCTAAAGAGTCACGAGCTCCGTCA